TTGAAAGTCGAGCGAATAACTGCTCGAGTGCGGCAGTGCCGATCGTAGTTGTTGCCTCATTTGTCGCACCCGGGTTGGTTTGTCCTTCAGCCGTCAGATTTTCTTGGCCTCCGGATCCTCCGGCCATCTTGGTCTTGGAGCGTGTGCCGCTCGCCAGATTTTGGTTCGGCGAATTTCACGGAAGTGAAGTTGCGAAGAATCCCTGAGTAGCTCTCATACCATGTTACAATCCCAAGTGGGACTTAGCGAAGGATCGCTCAGGGTTGATCGCAGAGTAGTGTTGCAGCGGAAGTTTGAATCTCAGGTCAGAGTGAATGTAAATGACTGAGTTGATAATACCGTATGGCCCCGGATATAGGCGCCGGCCTATTACAGGCGCCGGCGCTTCTATCTGGAGCATGGCGCTTATGGCCGTTCCTCGATTATAAGCGCCCCCCCTTTTGTACCCTTCCTTATTATAAGCGCCACCCTCATATTTAACACTATTTTTATCACCACAACAAAAGCAAACAACAACTATAACATCGTTCTCTTCAACAAATACTACAATTTGGTACACAAATTTCCACTTGATCCGCTATTCTACCTAGTTGCTAGTACCAGAACTACTCCTCGTCAGACTCGGCCTCCTGGCAGTTGTTGCCAAAGAAGCCGTCGGCGATGATGCCGTCGTCTACATCCACTTCCGCCGTCAGCTGGCTCCGCTTGTGCGCCATGGCGAGGTGGTCCTCACTGCCGTCAAGGGCGTTGCTAATGCCGCATGTGAGAAAGGCGCGCTTGATGAGTTCGGAGGGTACTGCTTTCCAGGCCCGTGAAATCCATCAAAGGACCACTTCTGGGGGGGGCTTCTTCAGATTCCCTGCACCACAACAGAGACACCCGGGAAAGCCGTGTCAGCATGCAAGGGTGAGGGGGGGATTAACATGCGTGAATAACGGAAACCACGTACCTGCTGGTGTCAGCTGCTCTTGGCCCTCCTCCTCAAACCACTTCTGGTACTGCTGACGAACAGATGCTTTGAAGCTCTTGTTGATGGAGACGTCGAGCGGCTGAACCTCAGCCGTACAGCCCGACGGGATGACAGCAGGCACGCAGTTGATCTCGCGGAGCTTCTCCTTCACCCCCTCGGTAAGGTGGCCGCGGTAGGAATCTAGCACGAGCATGGAGCTCTTCGCACACCTGCCAAATCGGGGCTTCAAGAAGGGCTTGACACACTCCTCAAGCCAGCGGATGACGCCTTCTGCGTTCATCCACCCATTCTCGTGGCAAGCCACGACCACATCTGCACACACAAATGGCACTTAAACTGTTAGCGCGGCATGAGAAACAATAACATACGGTAAGACAGCGGCAGTTGCTGCTTATTACCCGGAGGAAAGTCGCCCTTCGGCAGCGTCTTCCGCTTGAAAAACACCCACGGCTTGAGCTTCGCCCCGTCCGCCGTGCACGCCAGCATCACGGTCACACGCTCCTTCTGGTAACCTGCACTCCGGATGGGCACCGACCGTACGCCCGTCTGATCCACGGTCGTGGTGGCGGGCATCTCCAGCCAGAGCGGCGTCTGGTCAGCGTTGAGGATCCAGGTGGTCTCGATGCCGCGCGCGCGACGCATGTCTCGGACAAAACGCCAGAAGTTATGGCACTGCTGCGCAACATCTGTTAGACGGGGGAAAAGGCGGGCGGGATAGACGGCAGATTAGTAAGGGAGGCATAAACTTAGACTTACCGGTAAAAGCAAGGGACATAATCTTACGAGCGGCTGTTTTCTGAGCAACCCGCGTCTTCATGCGTACGCTCAGATTCCACCGCTTCCGAAACCGCTCCGACCATCTCTGACTCCCGCTCCACTTGTCGTCCGGGTAGAGGATCTTCATGAACTCCCTCGACCACTCCCGCAGACGGCCGACCGACACGGCGGTTCCTCTGCGGCGCCAGTCCAGGAGCCGCTCGTACACCTTCAACTCCATGGGGCGGTACCACGAGGCCCGCCCGCGACCGTGCATTCGCTTCCGCCCGGTGTGTGCTTCTTTGAGAAATGCTGCTGCCGCCTTCCAGTTGGCGAGACACTTCCGGTGAATCCCACTCTCCCGAGCTAGTGTGCGCACCGACACCGCCACATCCAGCATCGCGACGTACTTCAACTTCTCCGCAGCTGTGTATCCTTTGCGCTTGTGATCGCTGATCTTGTGCCTGGGAGAGGGGGGGCGGGCATCACGGTTCTGGGTAGACGGGTGGGGTCGCTTGCGGTTAGCTGGTGGAAAGGAAGGTATCGGCAGTTCCTCGGGGAGCCCGTCACGTGACCAGTACTCGACACCGTCGTCGTCGTCGCCACCAGGTACACCCTCAGGAAACACATCCTCTGCGGTGCCGCCCTGCGCGCCAGCTTCCTCAGCCTCGTCGCCGTCAGCACGGCTCGCTTCCTCGTCCTCAGCCACGTCGTCGTCAGCTCCGAGTGCAGATTCGTCCCACGTGCTGCAATCATCGGGCCGGCCCCAACGTGGTCCAGGGTAAGGGGCGCCGGGTACCTCAACATCTGGGGCCTTGTTGCTTTCCGGTTCCTCCAGCCACTCGTCGAACGCAGTCGGGAGCAGGAGCGTGAGCACGGGCGGATTCCCTGTGTGCAGAGGAGAATCCAGAATAGGAGGAGACGGAGGAACAGGAGGAGCAGGAGGCGCAGGCGGCACAGGAGGAGCAGGAGGAGCAGGCGGCGCAGGAGGCGCTGGAGGCTGTGGTGGCTCTGGTGGTTCAGCTGGGACACGGGAGTGCCATCCGTCGGCGTCGACTACAAAGGCGGGCCTACGCGCGGGCTTCTTCTTGAACAAAAAGTGTGTGCCTGTGAATTCCGCCATGGCTGTCGCAGCCAGGCGGGAGAAAACAAGAATCGGACTGCCAAAACTGAATGAATCGAGTGCTGAAATGAAAGATTGGAGGGGACCCCTTCTGAGATGCGGCTTGGGGTCCTCATCGGGGATAGACGGGTGCCCCCCTGCTTGAACCCGGAGAGGAGGGAATCGCGGCACGAATCTGCTGCGCTGGCAGGGAGATTCCACCCCCTTCTAGATGGTTCGGGTGTGATGTTGCACCCTGGCAGCGCATGACGTTCCTATTGGGCCGCACGCCAGGATGCACATCATCGCTGGCAGGTGCGTTGCTCCAGGACAGGTTCTGTGCGGTGGGAAATCGAGTCGCGGCAGTTTTCGCCGGAATTTCATGCACGATCCCATGCTCAACGTACACAGTTGTGTTCGCCTTATTGTGGGCTTCAGTTTAGTACTTTGGAAAACAAAATTCGAATTTGACATTTCATAAGCGCCGGCCAGGGCTTTCTTTTGGTTTTTCACTACTCGGATTTCCAGAGCTGTTTTCTATGAAACTCTGAAATTCAAGGTTCATTATGAGCGTTACTCTGATTTGTCAGAGAAAACTTAACTTCTGAGAAATATACTCTTGGCAGTCAGTGTACCTATTTCTCCAACTCTTACTGTCCTCTCAAGTATTGAACCCAGGCCTTCTGCACTCCTACGAAAATTATAACCGTTGTGCTACGCGCTCAATATTCGCTTGGCTAACGAATTTTTATAACTGCATGTAGTAATGCCTAACCATCTTCCACCAATTGGGGGGGAGGGGGGGGGGGGTGGCTCGGTCGAAATGCCTATACCCTCTACAGAGAAAAGTACATTCGCCACAAATATACACTGGTCTCTCAGAGTAGCTAAAATCAGAACCCTGACAAATCAGAGAAAACTTATCTTCCAAAAAAAATACCCAGACACGTCAGAGTGACCCCCTAAAAACCACTCTGATTTTCAGAGAAACAGAGTGATTTACTCTGATAAAAAAACCCCTGGCGCCGGCGCTTATGGCCGTTACTCAATTACAAGCGCCACCCCTAAAAAATCAATACTTATTATAAGCGCATATGCGCTTATATCCGGGGTTATACGGTAGCATGCATACATTGGGTTTATATAAGAATACAAGGGAATACGAAAAGACCTAGACTAGCCATGTACTCTAAGAGCGTGTTCCTATCCTCGTATCAAGACAACCTCGTATCAGGCTCACACAGAAAATTCCCCTAAACCCAAAACCTCTCGCTAGTTTTACCAGGCAAAAGGTACATTCTTGATACGAGGTTTCCTGATATGAGGCCGTAGGAACACGCCCTAAGGGGTACATTCCCTTATTCCAGCGAATTCAAACCGTGCGGCGCGGGAACCTGTTTCAAACCTGTTCCCGCTCTTTTCACTTCAAATGTTTCTGCCTGCATCGGTCTTGGTCAAACGGTTGCTGCGTCGCTTCGACTCTTCTGACTCTTCGACTTCGTACTCGCTAGAGTCGGCTCCTGCAGCATACAGGAATGCCTACTCATGTAATTTCATATCGTAACAACTATGGTGTAGCTCGATTACTATACCCTGTTTGTTCACGTTCCTGATACAGTATCTGATGCAAACAGTGATTTGGGAGTTTCCATTTGCACACAACTGAAAGGAAGTGCTGTGGTGGTAGTGACAGCTCATTTCAGTGCAGCTGCAACGTGCCAACCATTGCTTGTCGCTGAGCTGGGCTGGGTAGGTCGCAGGCAAGCACAGTAGTCAGTCACGACAACCCCACATGGCTAATCTATTTACACACGCAGAAAGGCATACTCAACTACATACTGGTTAACCCATCCCAAATCAAATCTCCTGACATAAAAGTGAGACAAACGAATCTCCTCTTATTGGATGCCCTTGTGGCTGTGTGAGCCATGGAAGGCTGGCGCAAGCAAGCAAGCAGGCGTGCAAGGGGCTGCAGTGGCTGTTCTTGGCTGTGTGGATAGTGTATCAATGGGAGGGAGCAGTGAAGTGAATGGTACTTGACAGGAGCACGAGCACACAGGCATGTATAGCTGCCTCGGGAGCATGCGAGTGCAGAACATGCCTGTGTGCCCTGGCTCGCCTGAGCATGCCCATACCCCCTGGCAGCCTGCTCAGCAGCTGTGGGGCGTGGCATCACAGGATCTCCAGCTGCGTGGTGGGGTAACCCGCCTGGGCGCGGTAGTCGAGGAAGAGGCGCTCCAAGGCACTCACGTACTGCGCATGCACCGCTGCCACCTGCATGGTGGGGGTGGCGTGGCATGGGATTGGAGGCGAAAGGGGGCATGGCATGGCATGGATGGCATGAGAAGAGGGGCATTGCATGGGAAGCATGGATGGGTGCATGGCGGTGGCGCGTCACAGAGGTCGAGGAGAAGCGGGGAAACGCATGCACCCAACCCATGCAGGCGTGCATGGAGTGCAACGGACGGCTTCGGTGAGTAAACAAGGCACAGCTTGACAGCAACTCCCAAGTGCCAATGAATGAACCCCTTGGTGCCCGTAAAGACAGAAACATCGCTCGCTCTACATCCGCACAACACATCTCTCACACTCACACCCACTTCACCATTTCCACTTCACCATTTCCACTTCAGCACCGCGCCTGAGGCGCGTTCAGACATACCCTTTCTTTTGAGGGGTTGGGGTCAGGGTCACCCTGGCCGATGGGTGTGCCGATGACGATGGTGAGGGGCGTGCGGAAGGGGATGGGCGACCCCCACATGCCCCAGAAGAGGATCGGCGCAAACCCCAGGCGCCTCGCCACCGCCCCGTACCACTCCCCTTGGGGCTTCCACCAGCGGTACGCACTGGTCTGCGAGGGGGGGGGGAGGGAGATGAGTTTGAGTCAACTCGAAAACCCCAGGCGCCGCGCCACTGCCCGGTACCACGCGGCCGCTGGCCTCCACCAGTGGTACGCACTGGTCGGAGGGATGAGGGGGAGGGAAGAGGGGGAGAGGGGGGAGGGGGAGGGAGGGGGGGGGAGGGAGGGGAGGGGGGGAGGGGAAGTGAAGTATGAGGGGCTGGAGGATAGATGAGGGAGGTGAGAGTAGAGGTGTGCGTGCACCATGGCACCATGGCACCATGGGAAGAGGGGGGAATGGGATGGACAGAGGAGAAAGAGAGGAGGAGAACAAGCTTGCTCTGGCAGGGTCGAGTTGAGGAGCCATGAGGGGAGGGACGAGGGAGAGAAGGGGAAGGTGGGGGGGAATGGGAGGAAGGGGAGGCATGGGCAAGCTTGTTCTCCCTTCGGGGTGTTCTCCGATGTGTGGGGTGCGGAGTGCAGGGCGAGGGACGCAGGAGAAGGGGCGAAGTGTGGAAGCCAAGAGGGGGGAGAGGGATGGAAAGAGGAGAAAGAGTGGAGCAGACAAGCTTGCTTTGGCAGGGCAGAGGCGAGGTGAGTAGCGAGGAATGAGAAGGAAGGCAGAGTGTGTTTGCTTCAGCAGAGCAAGAGGAACAGAGCCGACTAGCCACTTCCCACCGCCCACAACCCGCCCCACCGGCCCCAGCCCCCAGTCCCTCGCGTCCCCCCCCCAGCCCCCTGTCCCCCACCCCCCCGGACCCCGACCCTCACCTCCCCCCCCCCCCCGCCCGCCTCCCCTGGCCACTGCCCCTTGCACCTGGCCAAATACGAAGCAGGGCAGCACGGGCGCACCGTGCTGCAGCGCCAGGCGGATGAAGCCAAAGCGCTGCCGGATGAACACCACCTGGGGGGTGGCGTGGGGCGGGGGGGGGGGGGGGGGGGGTGCGGTTGTGGGGGTGGGGGGGGGTAAGAAGGAGGGAGGGGGCCAGGGGGTTGGGTGGGTGTGGAGGGACGGGGACGACGGCAGAGGAGGGAGAGGAGAGGGACGAAAAGACAAATTGGAGAGGATGTGAAGAGTGTGGCGATACACGCATGCGAAAGAAATGGGGGGGGGGGGGGGGGGTCATGATGGTATGAGGGAGAGGGAAGGGGGGAGGAAGGTGCGACGGAAAAAGCAAGAGGGGTGTGGGAAAAGGTTGGAGTAGGGGGAAGGGAGGAAAAAGGGATGGGGGATTTTGCAAGACCAGCGAGACGAACGAGAATCGCACCCCACATGCACTTTTTCCCCATGCACGCGCATTCACACACCCCATCCCTCCACAAACCCCATTCCGCCACACCCCATCCCTCCACAAACCCCATTCCGCCACACCCCATCCCTCCACACCCCATCCCTCCACACCCCATCCCAGCAGCACACGGGCGGGAGGGGCGCACCTCCTTGCCGGGAGCCATGAAGAGGCACTCCTGCACGCCGCCCGGCACGATGATCACGGGGCGGCCGCGCTGCAGCACACCGGACAGCAAGGCGCGCGTGGCGGGGGCGAGGCGCGCCCACTGCCAGCACTGGCGCAGCAGCGGCACGCGGAAGATGGCGCTCGTGGCGCCCGCCACCCCCCCCGCTGCCAGCGCGTGGCACATGAAGGCGCCCAGCCCCACCGGCAGCACCGAGTGCGGCTCCACTGCTATCACTGCAAGGGGAGGGAAGGGAGGAGGGGAAGGGGGGGAGGGGAAGGGGGGAGGGGACGAGGGGAGAGGGGGAAGGGGAAGAGGGGAGAGGGGGGAGACGAGGCGGGAGGGATAGGAAAGGTGTAGGGATTAAGAGCGGGGCAAACTGACCGGACACCCTCAACTGCGATACTCTTTCCTCCATTCCGTCTCAAGACATCCCTTACTGCTTCCTTTTGCTCTCTCCTTCCTTGTACACTCGCACAGCCACATAAGCGTCGACCTCAACACACGCTCAGGCGCACACGCAAGCAATGAGCGGCAGGTTCACCCCACCCACTCACTGCCTGCCACCATCACGCACCCACCCACCATCCGTGCACCCGCCCACCCCTCCCACCCAAGTTGTTCGCATCGCACCGTAGGGCTTGCCGAAGGTGACGGCGGTGCGGTCGTGGAAGAGCACGCGCACGGGGAAGTGGCGCAGCACCACCGGGTAGATGAACCTGCCATGGGGCGAGGGGACGAGGGGCGAGGGGCGAGGGGACGAGGGGCGAGGGGCGAGGGGCGAGGGGCGAGGGGCGAGGGGCGAGGGGCGAGGCATGGCACACACGCAAGCAGCACGCAGCAAGGGAATGTGCAAAGATGGGGAAAAATCCGCGTGTGCAGATGTGCGTGCGTGGGGAGCCGTGGCGAGGCGGAAGGAGGCGAAGCGAGCGAGCAGATAAGGCGGAGCAAATGTTGCGCGCGAGCAGAAAACCTCTGAGCGGCATGCCTCCAGGCGAGCCCTAATCGGTTTCGACCTAGTTCACGCGAAGTTGACACGGAAACAGTTTCCGACCTTCTCTAGGCCTTGGGGGGAGAACGAAACGAGCAGGCCTCGGCGAAATGCAAGGGGAAGTGTTTCGCGAAAGAAAAACGAAACCAAAACTGAAACGGAGAGCGAGCGGCGGGAAGGCAGACCTTCGGTAGGCCTGGGCGAGGGGGCGTGAACGTGCAGGGCCTTGGCGAGCGTGGTGAGGAGCACGTTACGAGTCGACTCAACACGCACCTTCGGTAGGCCTGGGCGAGGGGCCCTGAACGTGCACGGGCGTGACGGTAAGCGTGGCGAGGACCATAGTGTTGTGAGTCGACTCAACACGCACCTTCGATAGGCCTGGGCGAGGGGGCCCTCGACGTCGACGGGCGTGACGGCGAGCGTGGCGAGCAGCAGCAGCAGCGCGATGGCGAGGGGGTGCGGGAAGGTGAGCGCGATGAGCAGGAGCAGCGCGAGCAGGATGTGCAGCCACCCCATCCACAGCACCATCGCCAACCAGTCCGCCGCCGAGTGCCGCGATAACACCGCCGCCACGTCGCCGCCAGTCGCGCCCTCGTCTCCACTCGCTAGCGCCGACAGCGCCGCTCCGTCGCCGTCGATCCCTTTCGCCGCCGGCGACGGCGGCGGCTGCTCCGCCTTAGCGGCGTCGCCTCCTGCCGAGGCGGAAAGTGCTCCTCCGCTCTCAGCGTGCGGATGGTGCGCGGCGCCATTCTCGACCGGCAGTCGCGGCGCCATGGCTGACGTTGCTTGCGGGGTTGCGAGCACCACTGGCTAGTAGCAGAACTCGAGCCGACCGCGAGCTGGTGAGTCCTCGTGAGCAGCGAGTGACGTCGTGATCTCCACCCCGGATCCCAGCACTTCGCCGCTACCCCGACGGTCCCCTGCCATGTGAAGGGTTGGTCCCAGCAGCTGCCGGCGGGGGTCGCCTTGGAGCTGCCTCGCGACGGACGCCCAGATGGAATTTGCTGAGCGACGGATCGATGGGCAAGCGACGCGCGGGAAGGTGAGACCGAGGGCGCGGCGTGCCGCGTGTGGCCCAACAGCGCCAGGGATTGGCCTGTCATCGCCTTCGAGCGGAATCGAGGTCAGCTGTGTGCGTCACTGGGCTTCCCCGATTGCTGCACTGCCATTCTTGGAAAGTGGTGAGGGCGTCGAGAACGTCGCTGCGCACGTTGGGTTGTTCGTGGATGCAATCTGGGGAGTTTCAAGATGAGAGTGCTTGCGTCACCGAAAGTGGTCCCCACTTATGAGTGCGTGGATATACAACTTGGATATACAAATAACTAGGTAGAAAAAGAAGGAACAAAAAAACAATCCCTTACGTCTCACCTTACTTCACAACACCGTTCATGTGCCTGGACCAATCTTAGCCCATTACCGGCTAATTCCGCTACCGTAACATCGCTGTCAACATTACAGAATCTTCCCCATTACTGTCAACATTGCAGAATCTGACTGTCATTTTACTGGGATGTTGCAATGTTGACAATCATGGGCAGAACCTTTCTTAGCCCATTACCGGCTAATTTCGCACCCCCAGGAGTAGTCACAGTGACAAACTGGTACTGGAGGACAGCGTTACTCACCAAGTTTGTAGTTAACGAGGGGAGGTGGAGACCTGCAAGCGAGCCGGAAGGGGCTGCCGGATACGGGAGAACGGTGGAGGCACGGGCTACTACCGTATCACCCCGGATATAAGCGCAGGCCTATTAAAAGTGCATGCGCTTCTATCTGGAGCAATGCGCTTATGGCCGATCCTTATTTTATAAGCGCATGCGCTTATATTTTTTACTCAATTATGAGCGCACCCCCCTGGAAAAAACATGTATTATTATAAGCGCAAATGCGCTTATATCCGGGGTGATACGGTATTGGGCCCCCAAAGGGGTCAGCCACAGTGACCGGGACTAGTGTAATGAGCGGTGTGACTGTGGTGCAGTCGCGGAAGAAGCAGCTGTCAGAATCTAGAGACAGGAATGAATTGAACTATGAAAGAGTTGGGTACAAGTATGAAACCCTAAAAGGGGTTGTACACCATATTGGCTACCCCACTACAGCCTACACATATATAACATGCGTATACTTTGACACACCCCCATAGGCAAAGTGGGGGAGAGCAAGGGGTCACAAGAACAGTCAAGAAAAGCAAAGCAAGCTCAGGGTGGATCACAACGTCACCACACACACTGAGCACAAGCAAAGGGCCACAAGGCCAGTTCACATGCAGAGGTATATATGCAACAACAACAGCACAATGATCTCTACCTAGCAGAGCAAGCATGCAGGTATATATATAGATCACAGTACAAGCAAAGTCTACAGCAAGTGAGGAAACGTGGGCACAAGGCCTAACAGAGTGCAGAAACGCTGATGATCACCAGACGGAAGCGCCTTGGTGAATATATCAGCAGTGTTGGCCCGAGTGGCCACGTGAGCAAGACGAAGCTGACCACGCTGCTGCAACTCTCGAGCAAGGAAGTAGCGCAGAGCGATGTGCTTCGTTCTGTGCTCCAGTCTGTGCTCCTGACACAAGGCAATGGCGGCCTTGTTGTCGACGTACAGCACTGGAGGAGAACGAGGCCTCTCTCCCAAGTCGGTCAGCAGGTAGGTGAGCTAGCGTAACTCCTGTGCAGCCATGGCTGTGGCGTAGATCTCAGCCTCACAACTGGAGCCGAGAACAGAGGACGAGCGTGTAGACCTCCAAGAAACAGAGCCAGAGCCAAGGCTGAAGGTGTAACCCTGTGACGACCGCTGCGTAGCCTGGTCGTCAACCCAAGAAGCGTCAGAGTGCCCAAAGAGGACAACGTCGCCCCGTCCTCCAAGCACGAGCCCCATGCCCGATGTACTGCACAAGTAGCGCAGTACCCTCTTAGCAGCATCCATGTGCACCTTTCGGTGCCGACCAGGAGCCACGTAGCGAGCCAGAAGGCCAAGAGGGTACGCAAGGTCAGGACGAGTGCAGGTCATCAGGTACATGAGGCAGCCCACTAGCTCTGGGTAAGGACCACTCGGCTCTACGGACTCGTTTGAAGGTGGAGCTGAGAGCGAGTGACCTGTAGCCAGAGGAGTGGCCTGTGCCGAGGACCAGGTGAAGCCGAAGCGCTGAAGGACCTGCTGCACCATGTGTGACTGAGTCAGTGTGATGGTGCGGCGTGCTCTGTCCCGGGTGATCTGCAAGCCAAGGTAGCTGCGCAGCTCACCCAGGTCTGTGCACGTGTGTCTCTTCTGCAGCTCCGACTTCACCAGGGCGAGAGCCTCAGTGTCAGCAGTGGCAAAGACCAAGTGGTCGACGTACACGAGGATGTAGAACGGCGGCAGCGAAGTGTCGGTGCGCAGAAACAGCGACGGGTCAGCAGTCGACGGAGCAAACCCAAGAGCCGCAAGTGTCGTCCTCAGTGTGTCGTGCCACTCACGTGGCGCCTGGCGGAGACCGTAGACCGGCCGCCGGAGCCGCAGCCAGATCTCCTCGTGCAGGCTGCCCTGTAAGAAGGCTGTGCTGAAGTCAAGAGAGTGAAGCTCGTAGTCACGCTGAGCGGCAACGTGCAGCAGTACCCGAAGAGTGGTCATCTTCGGGGTGGGGGAGAAGGTCTGGAAGAAGTCTACTCCCTCTCGCTGACTGAAGCCTCGTGCAACGTAACGCGCCTTGAAGACAGGCGGAGAACCCGGCGGCCGCTTCACCCTGAAAATCCACATGCCACTGACGATGTTCGCCCCAGGTGGGGGAACCTCGTCGACGTAAGTGCCTGTGGACTTCCAGGATGCCATCTCTGCGTCCATGGCTGTTTGCCACTGAGAGGAGTACTCACCCGCTATCGCCTCAGCGTAAGAGCGCGGGGTCGGGATGTCTGGAGCATCCGGGTCTCCCTCAGGGGCAAGCAGCATGGACACGAGATGAGGCGCAGCGGCTGCAAGACACTCAAGTTCCTCCTGCCTGTCCTCAAGGACGTCCGTGCCAAGAGCACACTCACCCCCGACGGACGGAGGACAGACAGGCTCAGACTCAGCAACAAGACTAGCGGTGTAGTCTAGACGACAGGCAGCAGCAAAGTCAACAAGCTCAACGACTAAGGCAGACGCAGCAGCAGACTCAAACGACGGGTCAGTGACAACAGTGGCTAGCAGACGCGTGTTAGTAGGGTGCTCAGCACGAAACCGGTCCGACTCAGGGTCCGCAACGACAGGCAGAGAAGACGCAGGAGGAGACGGCAGAGGAACACGCTGCAGAGGAGAGGAAGGACGACGGACTACGAGGTCCGGCTGACGCGGACGAGGAACACGACGACCGGACCGACCAGAACGGACAGGCGAGACAGGACGCGACGCAGGCTCATGACGATCAGTAAGACCCCCTGTCTGCTCAGTGTAAGGAGAAGGGGCAGGCAGCGGTGAGCCAGGCTGTAACGGAAGACCAGTAGACAAAGGGAGACTAAGAACCTGGCGAAGCACAGAGTCAGGCGGTGGCTGAGACGACGGAGACGGTGGAGCGAAGAACAGGCGCGGCTGTGCAGTGACACCAGCACCAGCAGCTCCAGTACCCCCAGCAGCTCCAGCACCTCCAGCAGCTCCAGACCCCTCAGCGCCAGCTCCTCCAGGACCAGCTCCACCAACAACAGCACCCCCAGAACCGGCACCTCCAGTCCCAGGGTCTCCAGCTTCAGTGTCTCCAGCGGCAGCACCCCCAGACCCAGGGTCTCCAGCAGTAGCACCCTCAGGCTCAGCACCTCCAGCCCCAGCAGCTCCAGTACCACCAGTACGAGCACCTCCGGGACCAGCACCACTCCCAGCTCCAGTGACGTCAGCAGAAGTACCTCCAGCGGCAGAGCCTCGAGCTCCAGAAGCGCGACCCTGACGGCGACCGTACCAGTCGTGCAGCTGCTGGGAGGTGAGAGGCACCCGCGAACGAAGGCGGCTACTCCAAGGAGACCGCGCAACAGCAGCTCCAGAACCTCCAGCGCCAGCACCCGCAGCAGCTCCAGAACCTCCAGCTCTAGCGCCACCAGCGCCAGCACCTCCAAGAGCTCCAGAATCTCCAGCGCCAGCACCCGCAGCAGCTCCAGAACCTCCAGCTCCAGCGCCACCAGCGCCAGTATCTCCAACAGCTCCAGAACCTCCAGCTCCAGCACCACCAGCAGTAGCACCCCCAGAGCCGACACCTCCAGCTCCAGGGCCCCCAACCTCAGAGTCGACAGCAGCACCTCCAGCAGCGCGACCCTGACGGCTAACGTACCACTCACGGAGCTGCTGTGAGGAGAGAGGGACAGCGCCGGCTCCAGTGCCTCTAACACCAGCACCTCCCGCAGCAGGGCCCCCAGCTCCAGCAGCTCGACCCTGACGGCTAACGTACCACTCACTCAGCTGCTGTGGGGAAAGAGGGAGACGTCGACGAGAGTGCAGCGGCGAGGCACCAGCGGAGCGACTACGGAGACGGCCGCTCTAGGGAGACTGCTCACCAGACGCCTCAGCGCCCCCAGGTGCAGCACCCCCAGACTCAGTACCCCCAGGCTCAGCACCCCCAGACTCCTCACGCCCAGGCTCAGCACCTCTAGGCTCCGCACCCCCAGGCTCAGCACCCCCAGGCTCCGCACCCACAGGCTCAGCACCCCCAGGCTCCGCACCCCCAGGCTCAGCACCCCCAGAAGCAGCACCCTGAGCAGGACCACCCCCAGCAGGACCTGAGTCACCAGTGACCTCAACCGGCGCAGACAAGGGAGGAGGGTCTACCTGAGACACACCTG